AAAAAAAAAAAACCACCTTTTACAGTGCAGAGGAAGATGAGTTATGAAGGTGATTAGTTGAGGCTGTTCTTCGAGAACACAACAGACTGAAACAGAAGCCTTGTGGCAGAGACCTATGTCAAGCTTTGAAGGCAACCAATACGCTCTTCTTCAGAGCCAGGTATGAAGCTTTTGTTACTTTAATCGCTTGCTGTAGTTCTTTAGATTAGTAAGAGCAGAGTTTGTTTTGAACAACTTCTTTTGCATCACTTTAATCTGCTGCTAGCCCCAGGCTTCCAGAGGAAGTTTCTTGAGGACGTTGAATGCAGCTGGACCTGTCGCAAGGGCAGGGAAAGCAGGCAGCACATGGCGGCCTCCAGAGCCAGCCTGTCTGCCTGTGAACGGCACACATCCACCCTTGAAAAGCAGCTGGTGGGAACGTGGTTGAGGGAGATGTGGAAATGCCTGAGGCTCAGGCCCCATGTTGACTCCAACACTTTGCGGATCACAAATCGTGCCTACATTTTTACAGAGTTTCTGACAGTAATGCTGAATCCTTGTAGTTTCATTTTTTGAGAAGAGAAGTGCCTTTTGTTGAACCTAACTGATTTCCTGAACAAAGGTGCTCCCTTCCAGTTGCCCAGGCTACATAATTGTACATCAATACTGGTAGTGAAAGAAATAGATGGTAAAGTGCTGTGGGCTAGAACAGACTAATGACATGTAAGGAGGCTTATTTTTGTTACAGAATAAGGGAGTTGGTTTTTTTCTTAATCACGTGGTTTGGTACCAACATCCAAGCAAGATTCTTTCTGTGGAAATTCAGTAGCTCCTCAGGGAGTGTGTATGTGATGGTGATGTGAAAAATGTGTGGCTGTGTTTTGCTGAGGCTGCATCTTCAGTGAAAGGGCAAAGGAACTCTGAGTGAATGCTGTAAATCAGCAAGTGTCTTAACTTCACTGGAACTAAGCAAATTTTTGGCTATTGAGTCTCCAGTCCTTGGAACAAGGACTGCTGTGACATTTGCCATTGTAGCAGAAATGAAAGGTCCAAGTTACCCCGATGACTTAATAGTCCATATTCAGTATTCAGTCGTTTGGACTTCCAAGACAGTACTGGAGTGTTTGTTCAAAACTCACTCTCCTAAATTACTGCAAAATTTCTATCCTGTTGTGTTAGTTGATGGTGATATTGCAATATTGTAGGAACAAATGTCCTGGTAAAATGTGTTTTGCCTGGATCTTCTGAAGTGTTTTAAACAAAAGTGCCTCAGTTGTCCATTTTGTGCTGAAGTGGACTGCAAAACAGCCGGTGTACTTGTTGATGCTTCTTAAAAGCATCCTCTTGAAGAAGTACTGCTGTGGGCATCTATTTAACAACTTATTTAAATCACAAGTACAGACTGGTTTTTATAAGGTTACACATAAGATGATAAAACATGAGCATAGTTTTAATCTGTAAGATTGTATTTTACCTGAAGGTCAGTTTAAAATATGATCACTAAAAAAACATTTATGTGCATACCTAACAAGTACATTATGAGATAGTAATTCAGTTCATGTAGTTAAGCTCCTACGGCCCGCTCCAGAAAGGTAATTTGTGTGCCATCTTTAAACCAAAAAAAAATAAATACTAGACCACAAAAAAAACCCACAAACAAAAAAGAAACTTAAAGTATTTTGGAAAATGAAAATAAAAACAGGGAGGTATAGTGTGAAAGCAATTAAAATATTTTTCTTAATACATGAAGTTATTTAAAGGGAGGCTTTACCATGGTTTCATGTTTAATAGCTTTAGGTTTCAGACTAGAAGAGCATTCATCAGTCACGTCAATAGTTAATTCTGTTTTACCATGGATGTTCTCCCTTCATCCTGACACAGTTACTATTAAGCCGTCTCAGTGCAGGGACTGTTTCATTCTCAGGCTGGGGGAAAGGACCCAGGGACTGTCCATAGGTTTAAGAAAAGTTTTCTGGCCAAGTGCAACACGAACCGATACCTCGCTGTTTGCTAGCATGCTGCTCAAGTAGAATTTGTGGAGCATATGTGCTTTTGGTGTGATCCCTCCATTAGAAAAATATAGTAGTCAAATTACCAATTTATGCAATGTTTTCAATTCTGAAATAAGATACTAAAATATTTATAATAATATATAGAATAATTATTACTGGATAAGCAAAGGAACATCCTGAAAGAGCCTAGTTAGACGGACTAACTGCCACCATACCACAGTCTGTTTCAGTTTGAGCTTATTTTTAGATGCCACTTAGGAGCTGAAAGGTGCCTTTCCCAATACTAGGTGAGAATACAAGATTTCACACCTCTTTTTCTAAATTGGTCCACAATGAAAAATGAAGTGATATTAGCAGGTAGGGTAAAAGCTCTCTAAAGATAAGCAACAACCTGCTAATTAAATCTATGAAGCATAATTGCATTTGACTGTTCTATTTCTGTACAGTTTTGCCAACAAACAGCATTGCGTAATTCCCCCAGCCAGAGCCATCATTCTGCTTCTGCCCAGAAAGGTGCTCAGACTGAACCACTACTGATTTGATATCAAAAAAAGCTGGTGCAGTTGCACGATGAATTGGGATTGCTTTATCCAGGAAGATGAAATGATCACCTGGACCCTTCAAGCCACTCTGTGAAAGGCTGAGGAGACTGAGCTAATACAAACAGCTCAGCCATGAGGGTTTGCAGGTACACCACTTTTTTTGCACAAGGAACCCCGAGCTATAGTGAGCATTTCTGAGTTATGGCCAAGCCTGCTCATTTGTTTGCAGTGGTGGATGTAAGAAAAGAAAAGAAAGAAATGCAAAGCCCCGTGGTTTTCTTCTACCATGTTTTCTGTGGTGACAATGTCCTGAAAAAATGGAATTAACGGATCACTTCCTGTGGTAAAAAATGCAAATAACTGACAATTTCCCTCTCATTTTTCTAGTAGTAATTTTAGGTAAGAGGCAAACAAGCCTGCAACAAAATGTTCACCTGTAGAGTCCATGTGTCCTAACAATCCCCTTGAAAGATCATCTTGATCTTACGGCCTTGCTATATCACTACCTCAGTCTCTCTCCAAAAAAAGCATCTGGATAGTTCTTAAATGTATCTAAAATAGTTGCTGTTGGTCTGTCTAGAAAGTACATTCTAACTGTTTATTGCTGTTCTAAAGCATCGGTTTTGTTTGCAGGAATATTAATTATCTAACTTGTAGATGGAGTCTGTTGGGGTCCACAGTTTGTACAGTTTACTTCAACCAGTAATAACCAACCATTTTGGAAATGGGCTCTGCTAGGTCCTTTTATTTACCCTTCTCCTGTAAGGCATGACTGAGCTATTCAACCTTTCTCTATTCAGATTCTTAAAACGTAGACTCACCTCGGTTCAGCCACTCAAATTTCTGTGGTGTGAAAAGAATGAAACTTGATGAAGGAGGTCAAACCTTTGATTAGTGTAAATCATTCATGGCAACTTCATTAACTTTTACGCAACTATGTCAGTTTACATTTGCAGCTCTGCCCCGGAAGTGTTCCAGGGAGGTGAACAGAGGACATGGTCTTGCACAGAAACACCACCAGTTGTTTTGATCTGTATTTAATCCCTGCATTGACTGATTTCAGCATCCAAAGTGGTTGTTTTTTTTTTCACATTAAGCTCCCAAATCTCTCTTCAGTCCTGGTTTGTTGTGTTGCTCTGCACTCTCTCCCCTATTTGCAATTAATATTTTATCAGAGTTTTCACAAATAAGAATATGCACATACAAAACAAGCTACATCAACAATGAACAGATACCAGGAGACAGTACCATCAGCCTCCAGGAAGAGAAGAGATTGCCAAACACATGGCATAATTTCCAGCTCCCCTTTTCAGACACATAAAATGGATACAGTAAGATGACGGGGACATTAATTTGGTGGTTCTGTCCAGCTGTCATCTGTTGTGACTCTGATACCACTAGAGTTGTCAAAGCCTTACACCTACCCTGATTGGATAAGGCTGCTAAAGCCTGATGTTGCCATTTCATCTTTCTCATGGTCCTCTGGTCTGATTTTAGCAAAATAAATTCTATTTGTGATTAGCAAACAGACAGTCCTGGCATAGTCCTGTGTTACCTTTCCGGGCTTATATGTAACCTCTTATTTTTCAAGAAGACACATTATCGACTGTCTGGCAAGCTCACCTTCCTTCCTTCTTCTTTTTCCTTCTTCTAGAGAAACCTCCTACATATCTGTGTGAAAGAATTTGTGTAATATAATAGCCTCAAGCCTTCGGTCATAAGTGTAATCACTGAGGCCTGTGAAAGCACTCCTTTCCTACAAATCCAGAGCAGCCAGTGTCTGGTCCCTTTTTCCAGTCTCTGATGTCTGTGTGTACTGACATATACAAAATAAAATGAGAACAAATAGCCTGAAACACGGCTATTCTGTTCTCTTTCCTGCCATGTATCCGTCTGTCACCAACTGTTAATAACTTTTTATTGTATATGCTGGATTCTGGTTAGCTGCCTCAAATTTATTTGTTTGTAGAAAGCCTTCATTTATCTTTCTATCTGTCATATAAAAGATTGTGATCCATCCTGCTGA